TTCGTATTGAAAATATTCAGCGAAGTTTTACTCGACGCCTATTATACAAACATGAAGGACTGACTTACGCTGATAGGTGCAAAATGTATGGACTTCAGCCACTTTGGTTAAGGCGCCTGAAACTCAACCTTACATTCCTCTTTCGCCTTTTACACGGCTACACCAAAAGCAGTAATCCAATAGCTTTCAACAATTTACCCATATATACTCTTAGGAATCATGAAAATACTCTATCCATAAGCCGGTTCCGGACAAAACTGCGATCACGTTTCTTTAAAATACAGTACAGTGCATTATGGAACGAACTTCCACTTACTGTACGTAGTTGCCGATCTCCTACTGAATTCCAGCGTCTACTTAACGAGTTCCTATCAACAAAAGAGCTTCGGTCTACTTATCCATACTTTATCCATATGGGCCGCTCAACTAGCTTTAGTACTACAGACCCCAGTGCAATACCCCCAATTTGAGGAAACTCATTTGCCCCGGCAACCGTACCTCATCTATAACGTGATAAAACCAACCTAATCTCTCCCACATGCCTTTACCTAAGGTCCGGTTATTCAGCTTACTAGAGATCCTATCGATATTTCTTCAATCGGGTTTATAAACTCATTAGACTCTCCTGGATGTATAATCCCAAATTAGTTGTGATAGTTCTCCCATAATATAAGCAAACTGGTACTTTGTAATGTCTAAAGCATGCCATATGAAAAGTGGCCAGGAATACCTAGCAATAACAAACTCAACCAACCAACCATTTTCCCCAAGTTCATTCAACCTACCCTTATAATCGTACCACTATCACTACACTCTACTCAGTAGAATATGACTTAATTTGCTCCGGTGCTCAAAACTCTTCTACCCTTTACTTTTTAAAAAAGACGTTTTAACTACTAACTGCACAGTAGCCGTTTAACTAACTCACTGGTTTCCTCTTCACTGTAATCTTCAATAAGTTCGTCAGTATAATTATTTCCGAAAACCATTACATTAGCAACCATATCTTTTAATATTTTACGAATATACTTATATTATTAGCATAATACACTGCACTATTTTTGAGTTGAATTGATTATCTTCAGTCAACAGTTACCCATTCTCATATAATTTTCTAAAATTCATAATGTTAAAGCTATGTAGTATTTCTGTTAATATCTTTTATAATATGTTTAGACACGTTACTTTGCAATGTCAGATGTCTACTATATACAAGACTGTCATGATAATTTAGTACACTAAGTCCTGCCAACCGACCTTACCTTCAGTTCATACTACCTACATTGAATCCTAACTATATTGTTCTGCTGAATCTTGCTTCACTATTCACAAAACCTATTCTTTTTACTTTTTAAGGTTTTAACTTCTTATAAAGTAATCTGTTCATTAGGACGCATGCACACTATATAATGTTCATAAAGATGTATGTGGAGACCTATTGGAAGCACTCATTAAGAAAGCTAGGGAGATGGAATATGGGGTACGAACATGTCTGGTACCAAGCAGTATATTTGCGGTAGCCATAATAATCATAGTCTCAGAGCTTAACATCAAAAAAGGAGGGAGGGTGGCGTTAGCTGATCAGTAGATATGGTGGGGTCACTAAGGTGAATCGCCCCATTCTGCAGGAACAGTAATATACAAATTAAAGGCTCGAGATATTTCTGATTTTTATGAGGGCTTAGATCTTTATCTTGAAAAAGATAATAATGAACGCCTTGACAGATCATGCTTCTACCTTTAAATATATACCATTCGCTCAGCCTATTGTTGAGATGCGACCATGTGGGATCTGCACAGATTTATGGGGCATCTTATAAATTAACTTGCTGTCCATTGTCGGATCTTTAAATACCACTTCACAATGTCTTATCTCATTCATTTTCTAATAACGTCTTTACTTGCTGCTCATTATACTTCATTAAACCTAACATTTTATAGCTCTTTATGACTTATTCTATTCCTATTCTCTGAAGGTACGGTTGTGCACCAAATGCACAAAAAAGTATAAAATAAAAACAACTGGCATGAGGATAAATGTATTAAAACCAAAAGTGGACATCATGATAGTACGAGCTATGTGCGTAGCATTATACATTGCAAATGAACGTTGTCAGCCTAGGGAGTTTCCTTTATTAATGCATTTATTAATGATACCTGCACTTACCTATTTCATTACACTTTATTGATTCACCTTAGCACTCTTACTTTTCTAAAACAGATTTCAATCCCATGTAAGAGTTGTACTTACCTTAATATGCCTACAACCACGGCATGAAAACGAAACGGAGTCAATTTTCCCGCTCAACCTGGAGGACAACTGTACAATTCAACAACTATACGGCCTAGTTCAGACAATGAGTGTATTATACGTATCAAATATTTAACAGTTGAAATATTATTAACTTGTAGACAATCTGAGATTTGAGACTATATCTCACTTGATCGTGCCTGTAAAAAAGGCATGCATTTTCATGTAAATTTAAATTTGTATGAAATACATTACATTATAACCTGAGAGCAGATGGAATGGATGAGGATTGACAAAATTATCAATTGGCGAGTCAGTGATCTACTCCGGTGAGGTCACCCAAACGACAACCACGGTCACACTGAGGCAGTGAGCGGCTGTCATGATGCCACAAGTGACACTCAGAGCCCTAGTGCGCTGGGAACCGATCCCCGCGTGCAGGATCATGACAGCAAGTTTCAACTCAAAAAGAAGGAAGGCTACAATTATCCAATGTTACGCACAAGGCAGCAAACAACGCGGAACAAGACAAGGAGGAAGATATTTACAGACAGGTGCAAACAGTAATAGACAACGTCTCAAATGGTGACATCAAAATCCCCGTGAGCGAGGTGAATGCCAGCCAAATTGGGGGATAATATAGTAAGAGAATTTATCATGGGTCGAGAGGCTATAACTAGGAGAAATGAATGAGAACGGAGGACTATTCGCAGACTTCTGCGCTTTTAATGGTCCGTTCACCAGAAGCAGTGTGTACATGCACAGGGTATACACAAACCAAAATAGGTTGCGCCCTATGGACACACCACGAACCAGCTCGCTTTCATCTCATCGTTGCTCAAAGAAGTGGATACGCAGACTGCTGGACACAAAGTTGAGAAAGGGAGCAGATGTGGGCTCACACCATTATCTAGTTCAAGGAATCCTCAAGGTGAAGCTGAAATCCTTCAGAACAACTGGACACACGTCAAAATTCAAGTCCAATATTCGGAAACTGAAGGACAAAACTACAAGGGATGCCTTCACTACAGATCAGATCAAAGCAAAGTCGGGATACTACCTTGTATCACTGGGGAAACCTGCATGGAAGAAAATTGGAACTCTCTGAATGTGACGTTCGAGGAAAAGTGTACAAATATTCTAGGGAGAAAGAAGAGACTACACAAGGAGTGCCTTTCAATAGACGCCTACCCGGAAGCTAACAGAAGAGAGGTGACGAGGATGATGAGAGATGATGACTAAATGCAAAGATCCACAACACCAGGAGAAGCTTAATTCAATGTATACTGCACTGTACTGAATAAAGAAGTGAAAAAATGTGCTGTAAAAGAAAAAAGACAATTCTACGACACACTGGCTGGCTGCAACTGAAGCAGAACAGGTGTGCGGCAGCTAAAAAGGACCTCAGGATATCATCAGGACTTATCTATTGATGACTGTCAAAATACCTGGGGCCTAACGCAAGTTTACTTCATGTTTCTGCAGTGCGCTCCGCAAAGGCAATGTGCCATGGGTTTTACTCATACTGTTAGTCTTTTTTGACCATTGAATTTTCTGGGTTAATTGTCCATTGAGTAAGCATATAGTAGGGACAGTTATGATAATCATTTACACTACAGCACCTCAATTGGACTAAGTGATAGATTCCGACTTTCAGATGACCTAATTCTGCATTCCGCTGACCGTTGTCAACAGATGGAGATGCCGTAGTTCCAGATTAAGCCGTTGTATTTGAAGCTTATTAATTTGAAGAGACGTGATGAACTTTTTATCGTACTTACTGCTTTGAATATAGAAAGCCGAGCATTACAGACCAAAGTGAATGGGCCTGAGCCCTCCACCAGTCTCCAATATCCTCTGGGATGAAGCTCCACCAAACTTTACGAAAGCCCCTATATGAATCATTTGTTGCATATTCAAAACGCAAAATCCTCTTTCTGACAGGTGTTACGGACAAATACCAACTGGTCTATGATGATAAAGATCAAGCTGAAGCTCTAGTAGACTGCTTCACAAAGGTTTTCATTGAAGAAAATTGTTTGGCGTACTATTATAGCTACAATGAACTACACTAACAACTCATTTCATGGATATCAACCATTTTGGTAGACTTAAATAAGATTGGTGCCATCCAGAATCTTACTGAAATACGCTATACGCATATTCCTCCCTCACCACTTTAAATGCAGAAAATAGTGCTGAGTTAAGAAGGGAAGTCAGTATTTCCTCAAATAAGGAAAATTATGACGTACTCCAGTCGTCATGCTGCAGGTTAAGCTTGATCAGATTTTCGGGCTTCTGATCTCAGTAACTGCATGTATGATGAACTATGCGAAATGTCCACACTTTCTTAGTTTGAGAAATTAATACTAAAGTTCCATAAAGTGGCAAAATATTTGAAATTCTATTAAATAGTGATCAGCAATTACATTTTTGAATTAGAGGAGTGGAAAGCATATTATTCAGTGAGTTTGAAAGGCTGGATCTCCACAAAAATGTATCATTTAGAGGAATATGGGTTATAAAGCCCAATATTCCCAACGGAGAAGAAATGGTTCCGAATGGACTTCACGGGATGTCTCCAAACACATGCCCGGAAACATTTATTGTTTCTCTGAGAATAAAAACACTATTATTAGCATTCGAACTATCCACTTGTACAGTCATTAGTAACACTGCTAAAAACTGCAGTAGAAACCGTTAAAATAATAATTCTGTCAGCCTTGAGTTTGGCGTTTGTTTTAATCCACCCGTCAGGAAGGCGTTCGCTTTATGATATTTCCCTGGATTTTGTGTTGATTTTGGAATTTACACGGATTGTTGGTATGACTTTTGCATGGAATACTCAAAACTGTGTGCTTTAAAATATTTTTAAATCTGAAGCCATCATGGATCCTTATAGTCCATCCCATCCCACTGACCAGGATATGGATTTGGAATCTGATTCTCCTGCTACTCCAGAACAGGACGCCGATCAGAATCAGTTGCCTCCCAATCAGTCTTTAAGCGATGTTGTCCCATTAATTTTTAACTCTGATGCATTTGCTTGTCAAGATAACGCAAGCAGTCATCAAGCAGACCCTAATTTAGATGTCCCTCACTTTGATCAGTCGGTGAGTGATCAACATGATGCTGCAGAATCGGATGGTAAAGATTGTACAGCAACTGATGCCGCCTTAGAGAAGAAAGATAATCTAATAGAAACTAAAAAGCAAGATGACAATCAAGTTAACGAAAAGCCATCTAGTTCTCATGAACGGTCTTCTGAGACACATCGGCGTAGAAGCCGATCACCTTCCCATAAGCGAGTTGAAAGCAGATATGATGACAGAAAGAGTAGACGATCTCGATCACACTCGAGGCATAGGTCTTATAAACACCGTTCCAGATCACGTTCCAAAGACCGAAGACGGGATCGATCAAGAACACCACGTCGATCTCACAACTCAAACCGTGTCCGCAGTTCCCGTTCTCGATCTCCAGCTAGGTCAAGAAAACCGTTCAATGAAAAACGTGCATCTCGTTTTTCTGATACACCAATACCTACTTGCAACGCTAAAGACAATTCTAGTCTGTATGAGGAAAATCCCTGCAAGTCACCTGAAGTCGTTCGTTGGAATCCACCAAAGACGGTCGAAGAGCAACATGTATCTGAAACGGTCTCAGAAAGTGAGACTAGAAACTCTCCGTCTGATGTGACTCATGAAAATCCAACACTGAATCCTAGTGTTAATGTACTTCTCCAAAACCAGCCCCCGACACCTGTACAGACAGTAAATAGTTGGCAGAATATGGTTGGCGGTAATTCCACGTTTTTACCTAGAGTTCCACAGATGAACTTTAGTCCTATGCGATTTCCTCAAAGTAATTTCGGACTAGTTGGGATTCCTAACTCAACATTCCCATCAGGTATTATTCCCTACGCTGGCACATCAATACATCCGAACTTCATGCAACCCCCACCTATGATGGTACCTAGAGTAAATACTCCGATGCTTCCTGTAAACAATGCTGTATTTCCTGGTCATTGTGTGCAGTCAGTGCCAAATTTACCCATGGTGATTCCAGCTCCAGCCTTCCAAAGGAATGCTCCGCCTCCGCCCCCTCCACCCCCACCCCCGCCACCCTCCACTAATACTCAGCAAATGCCAACCACAACGTCCAATCTTTTGGAAACTCTAATGAGCAGAGCTGGCCTGCCTTCCAATACACTCAGCGAATTATCATCGAATACAAAGACGAGTGAAAAGTGTGATTCAATTGAGGAAATCTCTCCAATAAAACGAATCAATAAGCTGCTGAGTTCAGCCGCAAGCTCTCTTTTGAGTCACCTAACCAAGAAAGTTGTTGATGACTCTTCTGATGATCTGCCCCGCCGCCTCCCCCTCCTCCACCACCACCACTCCCGTTTCAACGCCGTGGCGATATGATCATAAGTGCTTCCAGTCGGCTGCATACCTTCGTTCCCCCACCACTCCCAGTCGTTGATTCTGCTTTTCCAGATGGTGATTCTGAAGGTAAAATGCTACCGAATGGTGCAAACGAAAAGAAACCATTTGGTGACATGAGCATGGCAGAGGTGCTAGCGAAGCGTAAACGGTATGATTTTGCGTCTCGACGAGAATGGCAGGAACGCATCGCTCTTGAAGTGAAATCAATACTGAAGCCAGCATACTATTTACGCAGGATCAATAAAGAAGATTACAAGGAAATAATGAAAAAGGCTGTCACCAAGGTAAGATTTGCAACTATCTTAATTCTATTTGATTGTAGATTTCAAGAAGTGGTACTTCTTCAATCAACACTGAAAAAATCAGTACATTTGTAAAGTTGTATATTGAGAAATATCACCGAATGCATAAAGTAAAAGCCCAAGAAGCTGCAAAGCAATCTGTACAGTAAAATGAAACTTCAATTCTCTTGCTGTAAATTGTACATAAAATAGATTATTTACTATGCACCTGTTAATCTCATGCTTTAATGCCAAACCGTATACGGCTATGTATAAATAGGTTTCGTTACAGTTATACCAGTTAGTAACGGGACGTCACGTATGGTGGCATCAGATTTCCATACATTGGTCTCCATCTGGTGGGTTTCTTGTATTTTTTCCTCATAAAATGTACACTTCCTGAATGTAACTTAATGTGAAGTCCAAAAATAACATGCGTAGTCGATTTTACTTTTAACCTAAAGGTTGTTATGTGGTTCGCATTCTACGCCAGTATGTTTTCTTACTTTTTGTATTGGTCATGGAAGAGATTAATATTGCTCAGTATCGTTGGATCACCTGTAGTATAGACTAGATGTCTGTCTGCTTGTGAGGGGGTTGGTGCATTGCTTAGCATTGTCATTTTTTGGCTGTATAACTGTGTCTTGTGGTATTTAGGTAGCTAACTATTCTTTATTTCGATGCATTGATCATAACAAAACTGTCATGTAAGCAGTTAGGAAATTGATTTTATGTTTAATGAGCACGTTAAGTTATAGGCTGTGAAATCCCTGTAACTAGGATTCTTATATCACTCATCGTAAATCTCAGTGTTAAAGTAAGCCTGAAATGCATACCCTTTGGATATGCCCTGGTGTGTTCTATACAATGACCAACCAAAAGCTTTTTCTTATACCTGGAACTTGTGTCGACTGGATAATAAGTAGAATCCATCTAATTGGGACAGATGCATTCTTACTTTCTAAGAATTCCGTATATCAATCCATATTTCTATTTTCGCTTAACCTTACCTTCATGTTAGGCTGTTATATGGCATCTAATCCCATTGTTCCTTTTTCCATCATGTTACCTTTTTTGATAGGAATATGAAGCGTGTTGACATACTCAGTTACATTAGACTGTATTGATGATATCTGCTTATGCTATTTTCCTAGGATTTAACACATTTTCCTTACTTGGATTTAATGTCAATTTGTAAGACGAGGTGTTTCAGTGTTTATGCATGCTTGACTGCTGCATTGGAGAACTTGGCAAGGTAACTTATAATTGGCAGAACAATCTTTCGTCTGCTAAATGTTCTTTACTTAATTTCCATTTTCTGCGGCTTGAAAGGTACCGGTGTTTTGTAGTCTTCCATGTATAAAACCTTCGTTAAAACGAATGTTATTGAACAGTTAAGCTAAACGCAGGTCACCCATTTGGAACGTGATGCTTTTCCATACCATAAGAATCCTCACCACTCTTCGTCTAATTATTGTCTCGTGCATCATCTATTTTCGTTTCATCACACTTACATAGGTTTATGTTCCCCTTACCGAGGTGTAAAACTTCCAAGTGACTCATTTCTTTTTGTGCCAAGTTCTATGTTAACCCAATCAAATGCATAAAATTCACTTCTCTACCTTCCATACGTCCAGTTATCAATCTCTACACAATGGTCATAATGCACATGTTAGGGTTGTGAAAAAAACACAGATTGGGTTAGACACTAAGTGTATTTAACTGTTGTACATATTCAGTGTTAGTCTGTGTGAGTTGTGTATGAAACCTAGATAATACCGTGTTTTGGTTTTCGTAATTTGTGGAAACATGGTTTTTCTATCTTAGTAGTTCGATGGATTTTAAATATTCAAGCAAATATGGCAGTTCGTGTTCCCAAATAAATCGTAGGCATGCAGGAAAACCTCGAAAAGGCACACCGACAAAGAAAGTTTAATTCCAAATTGTGTCTCTGAACACAATAATCATTCATAGCTCCAGTTGCCAGAGTTCTGGCTAGTGAGGCCTGTTGTCCGACTAGGCAAACGGTCATGATGTTGTTTACTCGAATATGAAGTTGCCAAAGTGGTTTTAACAGACTACCAGTGGTGTTTTCCTGTCTCTTCTCGCAAATAATCGTAGCAGAGCATCAAAATTGGCAGGAAAGCAAGTAGATTACGGTGGACGACAATTAGGAAGGCTGTGTCTCTATAAAAGTGTGCGGGCTGTTATCCTTCATCAGGTTCCCACACCGTGGAAGTTGACTTTATAATGAAATACCTGGAACAGAAACGGAAGTAACGATTGATGCATATGCTAACATAATATCATTAGGTAGTTTTGCTCCGTTAACTTTCGACTTAATTTTCTAAGGGATTTCGATATCATACTACCAATGAGATTTGTTTTTATATTTCTAAAATTCCTGAGGGTTTTGTCAATATGATAAACCATATATTTTGTGTGGTGAGAGTTTTTGCTTTTGTATGCACTGTTTTCCTCAGTCTTTTTTGTATTTATCTCATTGTAGGAGGAGATAATTTCAAGTCATGAGTTGGTTATAGTTTCGTGATTTGAAGACACATTCTAGTCAGTTTAGACGACTCCTGAAATCGGTAGTACTCCATCAGAACAGTGTGTGTTAACCAGATTAGTGTAATATAAGAGTAGAATTTTAAATACTGTGGTTGAATGTATAATGCCATAATAGATAAGTTTATTTGATTTATAATACACGCTTAAGTAAAGTATTAATATAATTGAATCAATACATTAGTAGATAGACAAAACTGGACACCTGATATTACTTCTTCAACTTAGACGGTAATTCACTTGGTAAGTTTAGGGTCAGTGTCCAACTCAATCTTAACTGCCCTCCGAAGACTATATCAATCAGACTGTTAGTGTAAAAGCTTGCTACGTCAAAATAAATCACTGGTTTTACTCTTGTCTGTTCAAATTCCCTCTAGTTTCGTTTCATTTCATTTGAATTAGTTAGCCCAGAATCCAGCTGATCTCCAGTAGAATATAATATTCATTCTAAATATTTAGATAGCTCGAACGTCGGAGTGTTGTTAACATCAACTCTTTATTGAATAAGGTATGCTGCTTTATGAATTTTAACAGTACCTTTGTAACGGTAGAAGACAAGAGATTTGTTAACGGAATGTCTATTACTAATTTGATATACACATTTATGGAAATCATGCACACATTATATGAAAACCGTCATTTGCACAGATCTCCCGCGTTGTGCTACTTTTGCTCTTCGTAGTATGTTTCTTTGTCTTTGTCTACTATGTTTTGCCACAATACTGGTTCATTTCCTCTTTTTGATTGTTTATTATTATTTTTCCTTCACGTTCCCCAGCGGAACATAGGGCTTCAAGCTAGTGGCTTGAAGTTTCTGTAGCAGTGTTTATTTTTACAGGATGGGGTTGCTAGCCTCATGCCCAACCTTTCCTCTTTACCAGCATTATTTCTGGCCTAGCGAGGTAAAGGAGTGAGTCGGCCGGGGATCGAACCCCAGACCATGTACATGGTCGGCGAGCGTCCTAACCGATGTGTCACCGACGCATGTCCTCTTTTTGACATCAGATCTATCTCCGCTATTTGATATTTTTGTGGCGATGAATCTCTTTATATAATACTGATCTATCTTGTCAGTAGCACATGCCACAACCTATGCATTCTACTATGATTATTAGTTTAGGAAATGCAGTTAAACCATTTTGACTTATTATTATTTTATCCTTTAATTCCTAGAGGAACATAGGGCTTCAGATGCGAGTCTCCATTGCCTTCTGTTTTCTGCCAACTTTTTCACCCCGCTCCAAGTCTGCCCACATGCTTTCATCTCCTCTTCACATGACCCCCTCCAAGTCACCCTCGCACCGACGACCAACTCGCCGCTTCCCCTTCGGGTTCCACTCGAGTGATGGCTTGGCGTGTGATGGATGTCACTTGATGGTTTCTTCAGAGTATGGCCAGCCAATCCATCTCCATTTCTTCCTGCCCAATGGTTTCACAATCGGTTCCTGATGGGTTGGTTTGCTCATTCCTAAAGATCCCTGTTGCTGATTGTTGTCAGTTGTTGTTGCTGTTGGTGGTGTTGGCCAGGTATCTTCATCACCTCTGTTTTATCTATGTTCACTTGAAGTCCTATCTTACCCAGCAATAACTTCATTTAGTGTACCTGATCAGCCCAACACATTAACTTTTCTCAGGTTACTATCGACTTTTAGACTATAGGTGAGGTTTATTTGTGCACAGACTGAGAATCGGAGCAGGAGCACCTACATGGTTGGTTGGCAAGTATTCTATCACTGAAGCACTGTCGATCTAGATTTTATTAGATAATCAGGTTTTAAGCTGGACTCTAAGTCTCTGATGATGTTATTGGTGTTTAGGACATAAGTTTTTTATGATAGTATTGTCATTACATTTAAAAATCCAGAGAATGATATGAGTGGTTTCCACGAATAAGAAGCGTTATATCTTAAAATGAGTTAATTTCGTGGCTTACCATACTTTCATCATTCTAAAGTATTGCTATCCACAGGTTCTGATAAAAGTTCGTCAAACGAATCGCTCTCCCCCTATATATATATATATATATATATATATATATATATATATATATATATATATATATATATATATACATAGTGTTCAGAATTGGTTTTAGATGACTGGAGGCACTCATTTTGCAAGTCTAGTCGATATCGATTATTCACTGTCCAGTGACCAATCAACCTACGTATATCGTGTTTTATTTTGGAGTTTTGAATATTGTAGACAGATTATTGGAGAGGCGTTATCGTGTTGTGATATGCTGGCAAAATCTATATCTAGTCTGATCCGGTAGTAACAAGGTTTACGATCATTTTGGTAGACTTTAAAATCTGAAATGCAAGTGAGTAAGAGGTCGTTCGATATCAGTTTAAATTAATGATGATAGATTTTTCTGGATTTTGTTTCGATTCCTAAAGAAGTCTATTCATATGAAATTTCGTGCAATCCTATTGAGTTAGTTTCCTACTTTCTGCTACTTAATAGACAAGTATTCCCATTCAGTTTCATTTTACAAGTGCTTCCTTTTCATAACCAACTTTGTTTATTGTCTACTGGAGTCCCAGTGGCTGAATGGTCTACAAGCTCGCCTTGTTACTGTAAGGCTTTTGATTCTGACTTCTGTTGCTGTGCACTGATGAACCCCCTAGTTGACGAAACAGCTGTCTAGTACTATCTAGTTGTGGTGCAAGTGGCTGAAAGGTCAATGAACTCGCTTCGCAACCTGCAGGTCTCAGGTGCGATCCTTCATGGGGTGGTGAGTGTGCACTATTGAAGTGTTCCAAACTCGGACAGGATAGCCGTTCGA